TTCATTCTTGCTAGCACAGTATGTTTGAAAGTAAACAACCAGTGTAGTTAAGTCTTTGTTTGAAAACAACCCAGTTTATGCATGTTAAAGCACAATTTGATCTTCAATTTGCTGCATTCTCCTAGTTGTAGGGAGACTTACTGTATGAATTTATTAGAACCAACCTCTCCTTCCCTCTTCCCTCACCCCCAAAGGTCTTTAGTCAGGCATCAGTTTACCCTAGGCTTCAGGTCATCTAAGATGAGTAATTATCTATCTTTCCATCTCTCCATCCATCCATCCACCACCCACCCACTGCATCCATCCATGTACACAATGAAATACCATTCCGCTATTAAAAAGACATCTTACTGCTTGCAACAGTATGGGTAGAATTGGAAGGCATTATGTGAGTTAAGTCCAAAGGAGAAAGACAAAAACCAGATGATTTCACTACATATGGAAGATAGAGAAACAAAGCAAAGGAACCGAAAAATAGACCAAAACAAACCCTAGAAGCCTAACTGTAGAACTAGAGCTGCCAGAAGGGAGGAAGTAGGGAAGGGTCCAGTGAACTATGGTGGAGGATTATGGGACTTTGGCTGTCACCTGTTGGCAGAGATGTGGCCCTATACCCCCAAATGATATACAGTATAAATAAACCAACATAAACCATTGTTTCCACAATAAAAATAATACAACTTAAGCAAAAAGATGGGTGATGCCAGCTCTGTCCTCAGGTTGCTACAGCAGCGCCTGCTGCATGTTGACTCAAGTCCCTGCCAAGGGGTTCAGTGCTGAAAATCATTTGCGGTGACTTCTGGCAGAGAGAGGGCAGTCAATAATGCATTAAACAAACCTAGAGCAAGGTACGTCTCGAAATGACTTAACTTAAAACAAACTTGAGAAGCACAATTTCAGTAAAGGATGCTTTTATACAGTAGTTGATAATTCCTCTCTGTCAGCTGAACTATATGTCAGGACATTTGATCATGAATCTTTAATAACTGTCCTATACTTCATAGGCACAGAAACACTCAGCCCTAAGGGGCAAGAGCCTGGTCCAGTCCATCTAAAATCTGAGGTCCTTCTGGTAATAGCCATTTTGTATTGAAAAGATCAGCTCTACAAATTCCCTCTTACTAGGAAACCACAGGTTTGGCCAAGTAATAGAGACAAAGTCAGAGCCCATTCTGTGTTAAACCTCGCTGGCTGCACTTTTTCCACATCCACACCATCCTGCTGCCCCGTGATGCCAGGGCCCATGGGTAGGAAGACAGCCAACATTGAGGAGTATGGGGAAGTTTGGGTATTAAAAATGATCTTCTTGGGCCCTCCCTGGTGGCGCAGCGGGTTAAAGCACAGCACTGAGTATCTAAAGCTGCTTCCTCATGAGTTTGATTCCTGCCTGCCCTGAAAGTGACCACATGGTGTGGCAGACCTCTCCTGACCCGCCTGCTGCTCCCCTCAGCAGTGTACTTCATCGATCTGCCTGTTCTCTGGTGAAGCCTCTCACCGCCCCTGAGCCTCTGGCCTGTACCCCAGTTCTGTATGCACAAAATAAATAAATCTTTAACAACAACAACAAAAAAAAGATCTTCTTTCCCTCTGAAGAAACATGATCTAAAACTAGTTTTCACCCCCAGGTACATCATGGTGTGGTTTTCAAACCTGATCTTTTCAATACAAAATGGCTATTACCAGAAGGACCTCAGGTTTTAGATGGACTGGACCAGACTCTTGCCCCTAACCACCTTAGGGCTGAGTGTTTCTGTGCCTATGAAGTACAGAATTAGAATAACTTCTGCCTTTGGAGAGAGATTATTCATTCAGCAAACAATATGTTGAGTATCTAACATTTCAGGGACAACTTCAGAAACTGTAGACCAAAGATAAGTGAGGCAGACAGGGCAGTCAGAATGGGACTGACATACAGAACGACTCAGACATTAGTGGAGAAGAATAAAGAAGTTATAAGTAGACTCATCATTTTCGACAAGAATGTAAAGGGTAATCCATTGAAAAAAAGGTAGTCTTTTCTGCAGATGGTGCTGAAAGAACTGAATATCCATATTGCAAAAACATGATTCCCAATCCTGCCCTCATGCCAGACACAAGGCCAGGGCATGGCCACAGGCAATTTCTGGTGGTGATGGAAACGTTCTAGATCTTTCTTATCATGGTAGCCACTTGGGTATACAAATTTGTCAAAACTCATAAATATCTAAACCTAGGATGGGCTTTTTTAACCTATGAATTATTATTTAACTGCATAGGAATTAGAATACAGTAAAGCTGATTTAAAAAATAACTTCTGGGCAACTACCTTGCTTTAATCTGTCCAGTGAACAGTAGATGAAATCCAAACCCATTGCACTTCCCTAAAGCCCTCAGGGATGTGAATCTGTCTATTTCTCTCCCCCATCTTGTGTCTTCCCTCCCCTGCACCCTCACCCTGGGTGTCTACTTTTGTTGTTCCTGCCTCATCCTCACCCCAATGCACTGTTCCGATCTAGGTAAGGCTGACTTCTAAAGAACCTCCAGCTCAAGAGCCATCTCTACAATGAAAGTCCCCATGACTGTCTGCCTCAGCATTTCAGCACATCATGGTGCGGTTTTCAAAGCATATATCATGACTTGGAAATATTATTTATATAGTTATTATGTATGGTCTGACTTTTCTGTGAGACTTTCATCTCTGCATAACAGGGACAATCTGCCTTGTCAGCTTTTCTCTCTCTTGGTCTTAGAACAGTATCTTCCTAATAGTAACTTGTCAGTAATTTATTCCTTGAGTGACTAGAAGGGGAAGAAATTCTGACATTATAATGTTAGCAGTGCACTGAAGGTTGCTAAGTAAAGGAACAGCAATATGTAATTTGTGTTGTTGAACAGGGACTGGGAAAGAATCAAGGCAGACAGGTCACGTGAGATGCAACCACATCTCTTCTGTCAAGGAATAGATAGGCCTAACTGAGTCTTGCTCAGAGGAGATAGGCAGGATGGAACATCCAAGCCATATTTAAGAGGTGGAATGCATGTAGCATGGGTGTGCTCAAGGCACAAGAGCAGCAGTTGAGTTGAGGATTACACTCAGCCATAACTGCATGGATGTAGTATCTGCAAGTAAAATAAGGGTTCTAGGAAATGAAGCATGTTCAGTATATAGTTTGAGGATGTTAATTTTCTTGGGGGGGGGTGAGGAGGAATGTTAATTTTGAGTAACTGCAGAATGTCCTGGTCAGAGGACAATTGGCAACACCAGTCTGCTGACGCTCAGGGGAGAGTTAGGGCTAGGTATGGTTTGGGAGTTGTTCCAATGAGATGGTAATGAACTGTAGTTAAAATTGCCACAAAAATAGGTACAATGATGAGATACTGGGGGTTAACTTTTCAGGAGTAGGGGAGATATGTTGGAACTAGCAGGAATAATAAGAGCAGATAGAAGGAGTAGCGTGAGGAAGACTTTTGAGAAAGACCAATTAATGCTGGCAACCACCACAGAGATTCAATAAGAAACAGATTGAAAATGGGGGGATTGGTGACTAGAGAAACAGTCATTTCAATCAAGAGCAAAAAAATACAGATGTGGTAGCCTGGACAAGAAATGGCAGGCAAGGAATTTCAGATATGATGGAGGGAATTTCAGCAAAAGTGGGACTGTGGACATGGAGAATTGATGCCAGTAAGCCCTAGGAGGAGAAAGGCGGCTTTTCGGAGAAGTAGACTTACCACTGGGCTAAGAGGCTTGATTCCAGAGCTGGATGTTTCTAAGCAACTGTGGAAAGAGAAGACCAAATCCACTTGTACTGATACACAGATTACCAGCTGATGCAAGGGCCTGGCCAGGGTTGGAGATCATATCCCTCATCCTAGCAGTTATGATATGGTTTGAGGATTCTGTCCAGAGTCCTCCAGCCTCCTGGGAGCTGAAGCCAAAATGACAGTGATTAGCTTCATCTTAACTGTGTCCTGGAAGAGTCACTGTGGTAGAATTGCCCTAGGGGTGAGCACATTGCGGTGGTGGTCTATGTGATTAGGTCTTGACTAACACAGAAATGAAGCTTGCAAGTGGGACTGAGAAAGGAGAATGAAACTGAAAAAACTCAATAATGGCTAAAAAGTCCAGTGAGGGGACTGGATGAGATCCAGGCCTGGCATGGCAGGGTGTGGTTCAAAGTGGTATTTAGAGAACTTCTAATTACATGGAGTGCTAGAATTTAGAATTTGGATAGCTTAAAGTTCCAGGTTGTGGCAGGACCATTAGTGGTGGAAACAAAGGATAGAGGCCCAGGTGGATGTTAGATCTTTGGGCATAGAAGCACCAACACCCATAATGTCACCTGTATGCCATGAGGTTCCCTATTTCTGAGAAGCAGAGGAAGATTGAAACCAGGAGATTGATGGAGTGATCGGCAGTCAATAAGAAGATCATAATTGTAATGAGCAGAAGAGCTAGGTAGAATGCAGCTCAAAAAGCAAGGCCAGTTTTGCACAAGAGGTGACTGGAAGGGGTAATTACGGGAAGTCAAGAGGATGCTAGACTGGTTGTGGTGGAGTCCTTCCAAATGCCTGCAGGTGCCACACTGTGACATCTCAAAGAGACCGGAAGTTGTATTGAAAAGCCCAGGTAAATAATGAGGTTGTCCACAATGAAGACGGGTGATGGGGTGGAAATACACCTTGTCATCAAATCACCTTAATATAAGAGACGTACTTATTTCTGCTAAGAATGATACGCTTTCATTGCAAAAATTACAATATCACATTATTTATAATTTACGACCTTCTAAATTCTAAATACATTTTGTCTGGTTTTATAAACTATGATACCTGTGAAAAATCTCAGGTAGCACCTGGAACATCTGAATTTAATATTTAAAAGTATGTAGGTTTGCATTTTGGCTGGGTTTCCAACATTTTATTAATGATGTTAACCTATGAATGCTAACATTTATGTGCCTGTGCTTTTCTGTTTGTTTTTTTGTTTTGTTTTGTTTCGTTTTGTTTCCTTAACATAGGTTCTTAATCAAGAACCATCTCTCTGGATCCACAACAGGTTTTTCCCGTGGTCTGCCCTGAACAGCGTGTTGTCCAATAGAAGCTTCCGCTGGCAAACCATCTCTGTTGCCTTACAGAGCAAGCAAAGAAGATGGATCGATTGAAGAGCCATCTGCCTGTGTGCTTTCTACCTTCTGTGCCCTTTTTAATCCTCGTATCCTCTCTAGCCACTGCTAAGAGTGTGACGAACAGCACTTTAAATGGCACCGATGATCTGACCCTGGGCTCCGCACCCACAATCATTGCCAGAACGGACCATATCATAGTCAAGGAAGGGAACAGTGCCTTGATTAACTGTAGTGTTTATGGCATCCCTGACCCACAATTCAAGTGGTTTAATTCCATTGGCAAGCTGCTGAAGGAGGAGGAGGAAGAGGAAAAAGGAGAAGGTAGGTAAATTTCAGCTTGTGTCAAATGTCACACAGTATAAACCTGGACCTTGGAGTGAGCTTCAGTGGTTCTTACTCAAAATTCAATTCGTAAGTTGAGTTAATCATTGAAAATTCAGGTCATTTAAAGAGCTCTTTTTGTCTTGTTTTCCAAAAGCAAGAGAGAAATACAGAACCTTAAGGATTCCAAGAAGTAATTGATTCATTCTTTCTCACTTTTTGACTCAGAAGACAAAGGGCAAACACTGAAGTGTTTTTAAAAGACCTCTTGAAGTTTTATAATAGAATGGATACAGACTCTTAAAGGATGAATATAAAATGGATTCTCACTAAATGTTTGTTATACCAGGGAGGTTTATTTTGTTTCATGGAACTGGTTCCAATAAATAGTACAGTTGTTTTTATCAGTTTAATTCATTGGCTGTGGATTTATAGACCACACTTCTTAAAAGAAGTGTCTGTGCACATTTTCAGCCAACAGCTACCGATCTTTCTGTGCTGAAGTTTCTAGACTATTGGCAACAGCTGAGCCCAGGGGGAGGGGGATGCAAAGACAAGAAGTATCATGTGGCAGTAGGAGGGGAAATGCTAGGTTTTGAATGAATGAGTTTCTGGACCAAAGTGTGAATCACCTTATTAAGCACCTAACCCCACCCCCACCCCAGCTCACTCCATGAAAGACACCAGCCAGAGTTAGGATTGATGGGGTATGTCAGTCAGTACATTTCTTGTTTCAGATGTGAGAAGCAGTTGTCTGAAAACCTAAGCCTCATCTGATTGATGTGAAGAAGCTCATGTATGTTCCCGAATATTTACTTATGATGAAGTAGGGGGTGTCTGCAAAAGGGTTATAAAAGAATATAGTTCTGACATATAACTTCCCCATTTCTGCCACCCTTCCGTTCATATTGACCTGCTCACTGCACAAGCCCTTTAGCCAACGCACTATCCCCAGAAGGGCTTCTGTTCCAAAGAAATCTACATTTTTAACCTCTTTCCCTCCTTTCAGCTTAATTGCTGTGGAATTTAAAAAAAAATTAAAAAGTGAACATCATATGTGTCACCTTAGGAACTAAATGAGTGTCATTTTCTTGAAATTGCCTATCTCTGGGTCACAGCTATGTTCCTCAAGGTTAAAGCTGCTGGAAGCCTCCCTACCTGCGCCATGTGGGATCTGGGCTCATGTGGTGTTTTTGGTTAGCCAGGTGAGGGGTAGACAGCATCACAAAGCCTGCCCACTGTTAAAAACAGTACAAAACATGGCTGGGTGTTTGTATGTTCAATGTAGGACAGTAGAAGTCATTCCCTACAAGGGGACCACAGAATTTTTTGAATTAGAACGGACATCAGAGACAAGGTACTCCAAACCTCTCATCTACTCATTTTCCCCAAGGTCCTATTGTTAGTAAGTGGCTGTGGTTAGAACCCTCATTCCAGATGGTGGAGAGAGGAGAGAAGTTCACCCCTAGCCCACAGCTGTTTTCTGTTCCTACAGCTCCTTCTTCCCAGACTGCAGATCAGAAGGAAGTGACATCACACTTGGGGGGTGGGAGGCAGTAGCCATGGCAACATCTTATGCTCAGGTCCCTATGTTTCACCAAGTCTTTCTCCAGGGCTGAGCCACTGCAAGGAATACCAAGGTGACTGAACTGAAGGGAGGGAGGTCTCCTGTCTAGAACCTGCCATTCACATGGACCCTCATGCAAAGGTTTTCCCCAGGTATTCACAAGTTGTGGCAAGGGCACTGAACCCCTGATTCCTAAAGAGAAAGCAAAGTATGGAAACAGCAGATTGCTGCGGCCTGAATTTCAAACATCTGGAATATCATCCTGAAGTAGTACCCTACTGCCTCAAAGGGCTCAAGTGATGTCTTATTTGAAGACTATTGTAACTATTGACTCAGTCTTGGCAAGCCGCCTCTGTACTTTGTCTTCTTCACCTGTCTAGTGGAAGGCTGACTAGATAGACGTCTCATTTGGCTGAGTTCTCTTGTGGGTGCTCAGCTGGTCTGGAGTAGTGCCTGTCATTAACCCCTGAACCAGTGGCACATGTCAGGGAGGCCTTTGGCACAGACAGCTTCTCCCTCAGAACCGGCTTCACAGCCAGAAGCCAAGCTGATAAATCAGCTGTTTTAAAATCGGAGAAGATGCACTGTATATTTTTAAAAAGAACTCTTTATACTAGTACTTGATGTTCCGGCTCATCTTTCATAACTGCAATGTATAATAATAGTAACTTCAGAAGAAATGCAGAGTAATATAGAAAATACTACCTAACAAGTAAGCAAAACATAGGGAAGAGCAAAAATGAGACTCATCATAAAGCATTAGAACTTTAGGGCCAGAACGGAGAAGACCCATAGCCTTTTAACTCCTCATTTCTATCTGGAGAAATGCCCATAATATAACCTGAGACTTCAATTTCAGTTTTCAGGCTGATAGGCTAGAAGTTTAAATGGAGCAGTGTTTCACTTATAACTGAACAAGGAGGTGATTGAATATAGTATGAAAAACTCTACTATCTTGAAATGTTACCTAGATACAGTCGGACTATAGTTAAAAGCAAACTAAAAAATTATTGTAGTTTCATACAGACAACCCCTGCTGTTTACTAAGCCCCTGGCCAAGTTATGTACATTATTTCTAGTCCCTACAAGTAGCACAGAGGTTAGGCATTAATCCTCGCATCTACAGATGAGAATCCAGGTGAGTGGAGAGGATACTATACAACCAGAGGTGTGGTCATGTGTGCACATGACACAGACACACACACACACACAGATGTCCTCCAGATCATCTGGTGAGTTTCTCTAGGAGAATACCACCAGCTTTGTTATAAGCATGGAAAGGGACAATTGTATTTCTGGTTTGTGCTGAAAAAGTGACATAGCTTTACTTTCTGCCGGCTCCGCTGGTCCTAAAAAGAACAAGGCTATTTTCCTCACTGGCAGAAGTAGCACTTGGTTTGCTTGGCTTCCCTGGTGTTTGTCACTCCGATGCTACAAGATCAGGAGAGGTTAATGTATAATCTATTTCTGGAGAAAGACTTCTTTTTTGGTTGTTCACCACTCAGTTTACAGAAATAACTCAAATTCAAATAGTACAAGTAACCCCAACTGGCCACAGAATATGCTATTTTCCATTTTCCTTTTGTTGAAGGTGAGTAGAAATGTGTAGTTGCCAGAAAATATGAAAAAGCTCCACTTGTTCAGTACTAATTATCTAGGGTAATATTGCTGTAGCATCTTTCTCTGACTTTAAACCATTTAAATATACATTAGCATCTTGATCAAATGATAAAATCCAGCATGTCCCTTAAGTCAGCTGATGTGGACCTTTGTAAAGATGCCAGACTTGTTCGCAATTATGCCTTAAATTATAGCATTCTGTCACCCAAACCATGAAGAATTACCTACAGAATGAACATACTCAGAGTAAACTTAGCTGCACTGCAGAAAGTTCACAGTTATCACAACTAGTTCTCTAGTTCTTTAAATTTTGGGCTTAGTTTATATTGCTCTATTGTTTTCATCTCTCTGCTTTTCATAATTTTTTTTAATAGACCATGAATTGCCTTTTAACAATTGTGTAGAGGTTGACAATTCAGACTGAACCCAGGGCGGGGGTGGGGGGTGAGTTCCCACAGTGATAGAAGCAAAAAGATGAAGGACAAAGCAATGTGTTATCTATGCATATATTACACTAAGTCCCTCTTAAGTACACTAAATTTTAGAAATTAAACCAACTCGTCAAAAGGCTTCAGACAAAAACATATGGAGTTATAAACATATTATTAGAAATTCAGAAGAATACTATGATAGTCTTTTTTGGAGTTAGTTTCTTAAATTTTCTGAGCTTCTGTTTTCCTTTCTAGAAAACAGAGATGACCCTTTCTTGCTACCTTTTGACTACCCAGTTTGCTACAAACTAAATAACTTGTGTGGTACCTGGAACCTGCCAAGTTGTCAGTAAATGTCAACTGCTCTTGGTAACACGGTCCCTTGTTATCACAAACATAAATTCTAAGTGCTTAAATCTGTTTTATTAATTCTTATAATTTTTACTCTGTCTTAAATTCTCAACCTTTTTTTTTTTTTAAGATTTATTTATTTATTCGTACAGAACTGAGGTACAGGCCAGAGATGCAGAGGGTGAAAGGATTCACCAGAGACAGAGTGGGGAGCAGAACAGGCAGATCGATGAAGTACACTGCTGAGGGGAGCAGCAGGCGGGTCAGGAGAGGTCTGCCTTGTCATGTGGTCACCTCCGGGGCAGGCGGGATCGAACTCATGCAGAAGTGGCTTAAGCTTCTTAGTGCTGTGCTTTAACCCACTGCACCACCAGGGAGGGCCAAATTCTCGACCTTTTAAAAGACTTCCAATGATTACAAAATATAGACTTTTTTCCTTATATATGAAATTTCAAAAGCATGTGGTTCTGATGGCAAATGTGGAATGTCTCTCTGCCCCAGGACACCCTCCACCCCCGCCTTCTCCTTGTGTATACAAGGGCCACAGTAATACCCAGTGTGCTTCTACCTCTGGAGAAAAGGCTAGAGATGGTGGTACAAAGTGTAGTGTGTACAGGGTGAGGTTTGCCTTTGCCTAACTCACTGGTTCTCAGTGGTGGTCTAATTTCTCCCACATGGCCACTGGAAAGTCTGGAGACATTTTGTCATAGCTGGAGAGTGAGGGGGCAAGGAAGGAAGGGAGGAAGATTATGCTGCTGGCATTGAGTGGGTGGAAGCCAGGGATGCTGCAGGCCAGCCCCGTGCAAAGACCTCCCGATGCTCAGTGTCAGCAGTGTCCACTGCTGAGAAGCCCTGTATGACCCAAACAGTAGCCCTCAGGTAGCTGAGAATCCAATCCAAAGTGGACCTTCATGTCAGGTGTTTGAACCCCATAATATACTGACTCATAAAAGTGGTTTAATGTATGATATTTTGGTACATTTTCTAAAATGAGTCAAACCAGGGCGAACCTATAACTAGCCACTTAACAG